GCCTCATCCAATTTTGTCAGTCCTCGGAATTTTCCTCGTCCAATTATTTCTTAATTGGACAGCATGGAGTCCTATTACATATACTTATTATTATTATAGTCTTTCTTTTAGGATGATTTCATTAACGTATTTTTCACTTTTATTAGATCATTCATTCTACTACGATGCCATTCGGAAGAGACGGTATTTGTGACGGTRTYTGGGCGCCAAGAAACTTGTCCCTAGCRACAGCAGTCATCGCGTCTCTCCTCTCCGTCATAACGATTCCAGGCAACTTACTGATCTGTATTTCAGTACTCAAGAATCCCAACAAAGACCTCAGATCGTCGTTCAACTTTTTCGTTCTGAATCTGGCTTTGTCGGACCTCATTTCAGGWCTYGTGACWGAACCGATCTTTGTATGGTATCATGCAAGCGAGGCTGATGGTGACCCAGTTACGAGGTTTCTGTGGATTGTTCACGTGGCCTATTTCATTTCATGCCTGGCATCTTTACTTAGTATTGCTGCTCTGGCAATCGACCGTTATCTGACAGTGACATCTAGATACAGGCGTAAGATTGCTATCCATAAAGCTGTGTACGTGTCGATAGCCATCTGGTTGCTGTCCTTCAGTACCTCTATGATATATTTCGCGACCGGGTTTTATAAGTTCGTCTTGATATTTTCTAACGTTGCTACCATGACAACGCTTGGAATCATCACGTTTTCATATGTGAAGATCTACCAAAGTCTTCATTCACACATCGACAAAGRCGCAAGCTCAATCCGCAGTCGTTCACAAGTAAAGATTTTAAAATACGAGAAGAAAGCAACCAGAGCTTTCTTATATATTCTTGTGGTCTTTATCTCCTTTAATGTCCCATCATGCATCATGGCTTACGTCCTTAACTTTTGTGTCACGTGTGACTGTGAGACCATTCATTGGTTGAGAGATTTCCAGTTCTTGTCAGCTCTGTTTAACTGCTCTGCCAACCAGTTTTTGTACGCTCTGCGCATGCCCTTGTTTATTCGCGCAATGAGAAGTATACTGAAGTGGTGTCCGTGTTCCTTGCCTTGTGTGAGTCGAATCGATGTAACGAGCGAAGTAACACCGTCTGAGTCCAAAGCAAAACGAAGAAAATCATCGAATAACGAAACAAAGTAATAATGATRAAAATGAAATAACTCGCTGAATTACTTTTCCTTTAGTTTTAGTCGATCTTTAATCTTTGCGTTACATGAACGCCAAGATCGACTACAAGCAAGAGACATCTCTCTTTTTTGCTCATTCTCGACTTTCACATCCCCATAATCCTTTGCGTCTTTGGGGGGTAACCAGAGGGTAAAAACCCACTTATTTTGCTGAAGGCTGATCAGACAATGTTGAAAATACCTTGTTTAGTATCCAAAAATAAAATGAWGAAGTAAAAAACAGAAAAAGATAGAASCTTGAAKACGTTTAMGGTWAATTTTAAACATTTTTTCGTAAGTCAATACATTTTCTGTAAGACCAAAACTCTTGATGATCTGTACACGCAAAAATAACWTGGAATAAACTGATAATCAGTATTGTACAGATAAAAGCAGGTATAGTATAAATTCAATTAAGAAACCTTTCAATTTGGGACAGTTTTTTGATTGG